AGACAGTACAAGATGATAAGATGAACTGTTATTGTTATTCAATATCTCCTAAACAAGTTTACTGTCAACAATTGTCACTGAACAAAGCTAGAAAAAGAAGAAAACAAAAAGAAAATATTGATAATATGGGATAATTTGTATTACTTAATTGACGTTAATAACGTCTTGTCACTTTGTACTACCTAATTTTACGACGGTTTATTTATGACATCATTTTAATGGTACAGCCCGATATTCCACGGTTCAGAAAACTGAACGTAAAAGCAATTACACATGTAGGCCTAATGTTCATTCGTGTTGTTATATTACATAAACAGTAGTATGTGTATAATGTTATATTAGGGACATAAGCCAATAACATTTTGCGGTATATTTGTAATCATTCCAGAGATATATATTATTGTTACCGTAATTAAAGCTTTCTATTCTTTTGAAAAACTATGTCAAAATTTTTTATAATAATAATTTCATCATCATCATTATTATCAAAGAAACTGCATTAAAAAGTTGAATTAAAATGAGAAGAATAACACAAACCCTAGTACTAGTGGAGGAAATTTTTCAGAATATTGGTCTGTCCACATTTAAGTTACAGCTGCTTTGCGCTACTGAATTTGCTGTTGCTTTAACTTAGATTAATATATATATATACACCTAACGGATAACATTTGTACCATTTAAATAGGTCACGTTTATACCATCTAATTAGGTAACGTCCTTTTCCATGTCACCAGCGAAGTAGGAATTATAGGATGAAAGGAAGTACTCTGTCGTAATTAAAAGTAAACTTGATAATTCGGATAACCAGAGTAAAATTTAATGAAAGTACAACGTTTCACAAGGTTAATGTACCCTAGCGCTGTATTATATATATTTGTAGTTTCAATTCATTCATTGTAGTTGATGTACCTAATGATGTCAGGTTAACCTGGTGAAACGTTTTATTTTATAATATTGTTACGTCTATGGTCGTTTGTTAATTTCTGGTATAAATTCTTTCCGAGGAAGTTCAGAGATACAAGTCCTTTCTTAAATAAAACTAGTTTATTCTTTCTCAATACAACTTTGCAATACACTTAATTTCCACAGTCACTTTAACTTAAACACACGCGATAATTCACAACGATTCACGTACTTTACTTACGACTTGACTCGATTGTCTGTCTCTATATCCCCCTGTCTGCTATTATATCTCCGCTTTATTTGCCGGGCTTATATACTTAAATAGAGGGCGCCTAGAAAAGACTAGAGTTGCCAGGAACAGTCATGATCCTTCTAGAAACTCCAGCGCACATGCTTCCAGCGTCACGTGACTTCCGCTGTCGTAACAATACATTATAACTACGACATTTGAAATCAAATTATTATGATGTTGATGTTCTTATGACATAACCTTGATTTGAACGACTTATTATGAAATTTAATTGTTCATGTTACTACCTTAATTAGACCAATTTATATTACTTGTTTTTTATTACTTTTCCTATGTCATTTCATTATATAAGAGTAACTTGAATTACTGAATTAGATGTTGATGTGTTTTTATCACTGTCTTAGTTAAGAATATTTTACATTACCAAATTCAATGGTGTTTTTTCTATGCCACTAAATTTCATTAGGACTATTTGCATTACTTACTTCGATGAACTTTTTTGTATTTCGCTTCATTGGGACTTCTTTGCATTGTTGAATTCAATGTTACTTTTTGTATCTCGCTTCCTTAGGACTTCTTTACATTGTTGAATTCAATGTTACTTTTTGTAAACCACTTTCTCAGGAGTTTATTGCATTGTTTAAACCAATGTTGCTTTCGGTATGCCATTTCTCTGTTAGGACCTGTTTGCATTACCTAATCCAATGTTGCCACTTCTATGTTGCTAATTTAATTAAATGTTTTTCATATCACTAACTTACTCAATAATTCTTATTTTAAAACCCACCAAGCAAGTTTTTTCAAGCCACAGCATCCTCCCACCACCCAAAAATGTCACGTGACATTACACTGAAAATTTTAAAACCTAAGGATATAACATTACACTGACTGTAATTCAGGATTTCCACTACAGGTTTGAATCCTCAACCATAATCCACAGACATATATATGATTACGCTGTAGGTGCTTCTGATAATCACCTCTAGGAAATCCTGTGCCTCCAGGTGTTCCTCCTGGAAATCCACCTCCTTTAAAATATAAACCACCTCTAAATCCACCTCTGAAGTCTCCCTTATATCCACCTCTGAAGTTTCCTCTATATCCACCTCTGTAGCCTCTTCCATATCCACCTCCTATGCCCAAGCCAGCACTTGGACTTAGTGCCTCACGAGGAGGTCCATCAAAGCCATATTCTCCATCGTCTAACAAGTCAAGTTTTCCAGCATCCATCTGACCTAGTTTATGAACTACATCAACGAATTTACTGTTAAGTGGATCCAGCTTAGTGAGAGACTTTGGATTAGAAACATAATATGTAATACGTTTTTCTACTGGGGCTGAAGTGCAACAATCATGGCTTCTACATGAGGTTGGATCTTGAGATTTAGTCATCGATCAAATTGGACACAGTCATCAGCCAATTTACACTTGGAGCATCCAAGTAACAACAAATGAAGAGGTGTTACCGTGGTGATTTATTGACATGACACATCTCGTGTTTGGACCTTCTCTCTAAATACAAAGAAAGGAAATGTGAATTTTTTAGGTATGTTAGTACAATTAGTACAGTCTAGTGAATGAGAGCTGCCTTGCTTTCAGTGCATAGAACACCAAGTTCTGTACTGACATGGTTTCCTCAGGATACCCAGCAGACTGTAGCAGTTACTGTTAACGTTGGCATGGACAAGATAAACTGGTTACAGAAACCTTGCTCAGCATAATCCCCTTGCATGCGAGCATCTCCCACTGGTTGAATACATTCAATACAGTTGCATGGCAATTTCATCTCATCCCTTGGAAATGTCGATGCATCCATGCAAGACGAACAGGAATATTGGTATCAAAAGGTTCTGGAAATGTGCTGTTGTGAGCACAAATTTTACACAGAGCATTCCTCACACCAAAGATGCATCCCAAAATCATCACCTTTCTAAGACGAGGCTCAACCGGCAACCAAGCCAAGAATTTACCAAGAGGTGTAAGTTAACTGTTGCAATCTAAGGCTCCTAATTCTTTCAACACGTCTTCAGATTCTATAACAGCATCAATGGGAAATGATTGAAGTGCTTTTGACAAAAACCTACTGATATCATATGGTGGCATAATTCGTGATATTGGTCTTAGCAGTATTTATGGAAGGAACCACCTTGGTGATTTCAGGCTGAACATTTTCAAGCACACGATGCTGGTCTTCTCGAGGCAGTTGTGAATGGAGAGGTAGGATAATGTAGGCATTGCTACCAAAAATAGGATTCTGCTCGAGATGCTTCATCAAAGTTAAGAATTCGATGTTGATTATATTTATATGTTCACTCGGTATTTTATTTTTGTTTTCTTATTGAAAATGGAAAACTAATTCTAAGAAATATTATATCACACATATTTTTTTTGGGGATATTGGTACTTCACCCTTTATTTGAATTTAGGTATGATTTCTTATAAAAAAATTGCACATTTTAACTGTATTATGAGCTTGAATACTGACATAACTGAAAATTTTGGGTTGATTATTGTACTAATTCTAGCCCAGTAATAACTAGAAAATACGATTTATGGAACAGACACTTTTCTCTTTGTTAAAATACTTAAGTAATTAGTAGACGCATGCTTCTGGTTCTGCTTGATTGTAAACCATAAAGAAATATCAGTATATTAATCTCCACCAAATACGTATATCGTGATAACTTAAGAGTATTTCTTGTATTATATAAGCTAGTACATACAAGGTCACGAGAACATAGCACTACCTAAATTAGTAATAACATATCTTTAAAACATAAGTAGTTCACATCTATATAACAGTTTTGTTTATAAATTCAAAATATCTAAAGAACTACATATCTTGTTTTGAATATATTACACAGTGATCCAAATTAAAAATTTTAAAAGTACGATATTTATCTTCAAGATAAGTTCATTACATCCTGTTGTTTTGTATTTTAAAAATGTTAGGTTGATTAGACATTGAGAATTATAAACTGCTTTTCAAGAAAGTCCATAATAACTAACATTAGTAAAATATCCTGCTATAGAGTTACGACAAAGACAATAATCTATCTTGCTATCTATATACTACTAAAACTCTGAGATTGTTTGTGTGTGTGCTTGTCTGTAATTAAGTACAACAAAAACGGTGCACAATACCGCATATTTGTTATGCAGTGAGAATAGAAATGAGAATAAAAACGGAATAAAATAAGTTTCGTTAAACTTGGGCTATGGGTTACCGAGTTAGCCCCATTTTTCGGGGCACTTTTATGAAAATTTCTAGATGAATATAGGTACACTAGATGGCGCCACATATCAGTTTATCTATATATATCTATATATATTCGTTTTACACCTGATGAATCACTTTAAAATATCTTCTATACAACAATATATGCACAACAGAAATTAAATGATGAGATGAAAATGTGTTATAACGGTACGTAGAAAGAGCAACAATAAAATGGACCTACAATATTATTGACTATTTGCAAATAGTAACTAGGAGACGAGGTAATAAGATAAAAATCAAGTCGAGAACAACAACAGCATTTTATAAACGAAAACCTCTCACTGAGCATTGGTTATAATATTATGACCTGTCAATGTTCCCATCTTCATTAAAAAGTGAAAAAAGACAAAAACAAGATCTTGAAGAATCTATCTATATACTACTAAAACTCTGAGATTGTTTATTTGTTTGTTTGCTTATTTTCTCAGTCAAAAAATCATTCACACTACCGTTCCCGCTCTTTACGAAACTTCTTACTTCACTTTTTTTGAAAATGAAATGGTCTTTCCTTTTACTCCCGATCAACAATCAAATATATTTTCTTGAATTATGAATAACACGAATGGATTGAAATATTTAATTAAATTATCTCAAAATAAACCTTCATTGCGGTGCAATATTGAAATTAGCTTGAATTCTTCATAACCTCTGAATAGTGGGTGACCCAAAGGGTCACGGGTGGTCTAGCAATCTCTTTTATTACAATATTCTGTTTCTGGGCTACAACAAGGCCAATAATAATCAATATTAGTACTGTTACGACAGCGGAAGCCGCGTGACGCTGGTAACACGTAATGAGTTCTAGAAAGATCGAGGAACATCACGAATAATCCAGTATTTGCTAGGCGCCCTCTATTCTTGCATATAAGTGTCCCAGATAAAGCGATTTAATCAATCGGAATTAGAATTGCAGACAAGTTGAGATAGAGACAGACAATTGAGTTAAGCGCGGTAGTAAGTAAAGTGCGTGAATCGTTCGTTGTAAATTTATAGCGTGTGTTCAAGTTAAGGT